AAGACATAATAGTGAGATATACTGTCCCTAAAACTAAAAATAAACTACTGCTGTACGGTCCGAACGGACGGAGTGTACGGTACGAGCAGCTTTAGTACATCTTTAGTCGATAAGTAGTGTGTGTGTGTGTGTGTGTGTGTGTGTGTGTGTGTGTGTGTGTGTGTAAGGAATGAATCTTAAGTGATTTTTTTTCCCTACAGATGGCATTAAAATGGCATATTATTTGAACTTCCTGTTCATCCAGAATTTTACCAAAAAACTTTCATATTTTTAAAAAACTCTGAAAAATAGATTACTCATCACAACTTGTTTTGCAAATTTGTCATATTTAAAAAAAAAAGAAGCTTAAATTGTTATTTTTAACACCAAATTAAAATCAAATTTGAACAATACTATTAGTGCTTTATAGTACTTGGGTAAATAAAAGATTGCTAATTTAATTCACAAATTTATTACAACAGCTAATTTTTTTTTTCGTAGTTAGAAAATTGTGAACTAACTTTTTGAAGCAATTCCAAAACACCCATAATTAAAGATGCTTTTTGATATTACCAAGTTTTTAATATTTATTATAAAGTCCACAATAACAACAAACTAAATACATATCCTGATGAAATCTGGACATATATAGAGATGCACAAAATTCACAACTTTTTCAAAAATCTTTGCACTAGAATATTTAAGGAGTTGAAAAATAAATACAACCTTTATATAACCATAAAGATGCACTACCATGCTAATTATTACAAATTAGTTATTTGTTACAATGTTGGCCATGAAAGATTGCTGAATTTATTGTTATACTTTTCAAATTTATTTCAAACAACAGAAAGTAGATTGTTACATCACAGTCCTAGAAGGGCCCTTGTTTTTCGGGGTAGAATTGCAGCACTGAGAGGTGGAAAGAAGTGAAGAATTTTGGGGGCATCTTAAACAAGTGCCTCAACTAATTTTTGATAATGTTACTACAAAGGTAACATTGTCACCTGTGGATGTAATCATATAGTTTTTCATGGTCTTGACTGGCAGTTTTCGCTAGTTCCTTCTGTCAAATGGATTTTATTATTATTACACTCTTACAGTTTCCTGTTAGTCACTTACTAATCAGAAATTTGATTATTTTTCTTTTTATAAAAATTCACCCTCTTTCCTATACTACATACTACAGCAGTTCATTTAGTGAGAATATTATCTTTTTTATATCATGTAGTTTTAACCATTTCTTTGTGTTCTTAAATACGATCAGGTCACAGCTGTGCTTGTTATAGTGTTGGTATTAACTCTTTCCATACAGGGTTGGTGGATTACACTGACTTTGTAACCCCAAAGTGACCAGTTTCCATACTATAATTTTTAATATGTGTATCTTCACAAAACTTGGCAAACTTTTACAAGTCATTTGTACACAGGATATTTTAATTAACTATTTGTCCACAAACATATAGAGTCAAAGAGTTAAGTAATCTAAGCACAAAGTGAATTTCATGTGATGATTTAAAATGCTTTTCTTCACCTAAAAATTTTAAAATTTCATTAGTGTAACCTTTAAAACCTCTTAAATAAATATCAAACGTTTTTTTCTTTCAAGTTAAACTTTATATCTCTTATTTTCTCTACCCTAATGCTATATGGACTAAATTTGGTCAACTTTGTAGTCACCATTTTTCTTCTATAATGAATTCAAACTAACAGAAAACTATGTTTGATCTCCTAAACAGCTTAAGGCTTGTAATAATACACATCTGTTTATACTTAATTTTATTGTTTTATTGCCTTTTGAACAATGTCTAACTAATAAACCTGCCATACAAGTTGTAAATCACTCAGCAGACACGTAACTCTAGTAGCCAAAGTTACTGTATTGAACGTAGCTAAAGTTACTGTATTGAACGACATAATGCACGAACTATTTGTGAGTATACCTTGTGGTTAATTATCATTATTAATTTTTATTACCTCACTTATTCTAATCTGTTTCTAATACCTTCATTTTAATTACTTTTATAACAATAATTAAAACATCTTTTTTTTTTTTTGCTATAGCTTGCAAATGACATTTAAGCCTTTTTTTTTTTATTTAAATACTGATGGTACTAGTATACTAAATATTTTATTTACTTAAATAATGCACTTAAGAATATGGAGTAATAACACACAAATTAAATTTAACTGTTTTTCTAGCTACAGCATAAGAGCCTTGAACTTCCATAAACTTCTCAATTTGAACACCACAAGAGAAATTTTTAAACTGAAGAAAAGATAAATAATACTCTGAACTGAAAACAACATAATACAATACGTCATTTGATAGAGTAAAACTTTACCTTTCTATTGGTTACATATAATGTAGTTTAAAACATCAGAAAATTATTGGCAATTTGTGAAAGAAAGGGTACGACAAGTGGGTCTGATTGTCTAGTTAATGACTCCATAAACAAACAAAATCGAAGACTATAAGAATTATGCTTTGCCTGAGTAATATCTATGTTATAATAAGTTGTTTACATTAAATTCCATACTTCTCAATGGTGTGGTAAATATATTAGAGAAGAGTGGAAACCTAAAAAGAATGTTCTCAGAGGGAGATTTTTAAAAAAATATTCCCTTATAAAAATAAGAAATTAAAACTTGTATAATATGAACATTTAATATATTAACTATGTTCTGATGCCAAGTTTACATGTATATATTAGCAATAAAGTAGTTTAATCAAGTTTCAAATGTAGCACTAAAAGATCATGACATGTGTACTTTGACCTACTCATAGCAAGAGGATTAAAAAGTTAATGCAAAGAGTTGAAAGATTGCCCAAAAAAAAAAAACTCATTAATTTTTCAGTCCTCACAGTTTTTTACATGCTCAATAAAACAATGTGTAGAAACCTATTAGGTGAAGCATAATGTGAGATATCTGCCCTAAAAATAAAATACTGCACAATGAGAACAATAAACACTTCCATATCAAAAGGCTTTATTATGGAAACTGTAACATCTATATAACAACAAATAGTGCTCTTGCACCATGTCATATTTTAATAAGATAATTAGATTTTTGATAATTTAAAATGCCAAATTGATGAGTAAATGATATTCTCAGGGTATGAAAAATTTAGCTAACACCTATGTAAGCATTTTAAATTCTCTTCAAGTGAAAAAAATATTACAGAAATGGATAAGAAATAATATATAAATGTTTTAAAGAGGTAAATGGAACAACACAGCAGACAAACTGACATAAAACATATCTTAACATCCTCAACTGCTAAAAGTTCTAAAAACATAAATTTCAACAATCTCAGATGACCTTTTGCAGAATATTTACACAACTTTTCAAAATAATTTTCAAGCCTTCAAACTGATCATGAGATACATACGGATATGTAAATCATAGATCAGTTTGGAGAAAGTTCAAAATCTTTCAACGAGCTACATTTAAAAAAAATGAAGTAAAATGCCAGCCTAGCAGGTGAATGTTTAAGAATTTTAGGAATTCATTGCAGTATCTGAAAACTTAAGCACAAAAACTGTTGTAGACATCAGTCAGTAATGTGCTGCTACCAAAATAGAGCTTAGCTACACAACACTCAGGCAACAGTCAGAGAATTTATGAAATGATTTCATAATACAATGTACTAATCACTAGCTTTTAGTTTTGCAGTAGATGTATATATCTTACCTTTGTCAGATCTGGTATGTCACCTTTGTCAATCCCAATATTCTGAAATAAAAAAACAAAGCACATGTACACACACACGCATATATATATCTCCAGACAAGTTTTAGCAAATGATGTGTCTATAGAAAAATTTATATCCTTACTATAAAAGTCAGCACTGGAAATGAAGTTCACAAACACATTTTTATTTTGACATTGAAGGCCAAACTTTAATTCATCATCAACACACACACTAAGCAAAACTATTCAAGTCAAAAGTATTTTAAGTTTTACAGTTATCAAGCTTTTGGTTTTTAATTTCTTAACAAGAAACTTCTGTGCAAAAATAAAGTGTATAATAACACAGAGAATAGAATCACACAGTACAAATTTACATGTAAATGACAATTTCCATAAAATGTTAGTAGTCTATTAAATATAATTTAGTATCCAAATTCAGACTATCCAGAAAAACATCATTAAGATATGAATAAAACTGATGACATTCTGGATTCAACTTTAAAGATTTTTTATGACCATTTAGCTACGTAAACTGCTTTGAGTATTCTAATACAAACATGGTATTGATATTTATAAGTTAGTGGGGAATATTTACCTTATATATTAAGTTAAAAGATACTACAGTGGTATTCTATGGAACATCCATACCAGTTATGTTATGCCTTATAATAATAATAAAAAAATCTAATTAAACTCAGCATTTGAATAGGGTCTAAACCTTATTCCTAAGTAGCTTATTGATACTTGATTCATCATGTTCTAGCACCCCCTAGGTGTTATGTCAGGCCCAAGCAATACTATTTAAAGCAGATGTTTTTATCTTACTCAACAACCTCTCTTCTGTAAAGGTATACTTTACAAATCACAGACTGTAAATACCATGAAAAACAACAAGGAATACGAATACAAACAAAAGGACAAGTACATCTACATTTACAAAGAATGTTAAAAAATATATATTTCAAATACCATAGATAACACACACCTCAGCAACTTTCAAAAATTCTGCCACCCTGTCCATACGAATAAGGAACTTCTTATACATGTCGAGGGCTTCTCGGCAATGTTTCTTGTTCATTTCAAAATATTTCTCTGAAAGAATTTTTTTTTTTTTGAATTTCATGCAAAGCTACACGAGGGTTATCTACAATTTTGAAGGACGGACTAGATGGAAAGTAGCTACTACACGTAATCCATCACAAACTGTTTGGCTACTTTTTACCAACAAATAGTGGGACTGACCTTCTCATTCTAACAATGCTATACTGTACCATATATGCTATGGGTCGGAGGTAACATGGTTACTCGTATATTTTTTGGGTGTCAAGTACAATTTAGTAATGGTTCACTGCACTTTGTTATTCTCACACTTGAATATAAACACATAAATTTAATTTGATAGAAAACAGAAAAATATAAGTTGTTGATTTACCATATAAAACCTACTATAGCCAAACCTATTTTACTTGCTTCTCCTCAAGTCCATATTTGACACATTTATCAAAGCTACTGACACTGCTTCAATATCAGTTTAAATATGAATGTAAAAATATTTTTATGTAAATATTCTGTTGTAATTGTATAAATATTGGATAAATTTAGTTATGTTAGGATACAATGTTATTATGGTTAAAGCATTCTTTAACTCTGCCCATACAGGGTCAGTCAATGTGAATGACCACAAAATGACCATCGCTTTCCATACTACTTTTTAATATGGTACATTTATTTTCACAAAATTTGACAATCTTTCATTAACATCATACGTCCTTTATACACAAAAAATTAAAATTATTCACTAAGTATTTTGACTAAAGATGTGCCCGTGAATATATGAAGTCAGAGTGTTGACTGCTCCAAAAAATACTTTTCTTCACCTGAAAACTTTTATATTTCATTTGTGTAATCTCTAAAATTTCCTAAATAAATATCAAACGTTTTTTTTTTCAGTCAAATTTTATCATGCTTTATCTGTCATTTTCTCTATCCAAACTCTATACAAACTCAGTCGATTTGAGCAATCTTGTAACAACATAAAAAAATATGAAATCAATCTAAATTACACTTTTTTCTTTCTAGAATGAATGCAGATTGTAAGAGAAAATTACAATTGTTTATCCAAAATAGCTTAAGGCTCATAACTGTCTACATCAATTTCTACTAATTTTATTGTTTTATTTTCCTCTGAACTGTTTCTAACTATAGTCCAACACACAAAAAGCAGACAATGTCCTATAACTATTTTAATTTAATTGGCTTTCAAACTAAGATAAGAGGAGCTTAAAATAATTCTCCTAGCTACTCAATCAGAACATTACAAGTTAAACTTTCAAACTGAAGATGAAATTGACAATATCCTGTACTGAAAACAATGTAGCATTACATGTCATTCAATAGATTAAAACCTTGTCCTTCTATTGGTTATAAATGATCTAATATAAAACATCAGAAAGAATTATTGGCTCTTTGCAAAGAAGGAGGGCATAGCAAATGGGTCCGATATTCTAGTTTATGGTTCTGTAAACAAATAAGATTGAAAGCTATAAAAATTATGCTTTGTCTTAGTAATATCTATATTATAATGAGTAATTGATGTTAAATTCTGTATTTCAGAAAGGTGTGGTAAACAAATTAAAAGAGGACCTAAATAACAAATGTCACAATTCTCATACTACGAGATATTGAGAATTTATTTAACTATTTCCATGCCAAGTTTATTCATATACATTAATAATAAAGTAGTTTAAGTTTGGAATGTAACTCATGACTCAAGAAAAATATATAATTAGTTCAAGCAAAGCAAAATAAGATAGTGCAGTAATGAAGGCAGAGTTGATTTTTTATTATTTTTTTTTTTACTATATATATATATATATATTCTGCCATCTAAAATACATTTCAACATATGAACAGCACTTACCTAAAAGATTAATGATACCATCATTGTAACAGGCAAACAACCGTATAAGGTCTCGAAAGAGAAGCATGAAACAGGCTTTAATTACAGGGTTGATCAGATCAGTAGATGCACACTGGAAATTCAAAACAAACAATTCTATCAACATTTGCATTCATTCATAGTTAAACTGTTTATCCCTACTATCCCAACCAATGAACACCTTTCACACATTCAGTGCATGCTTGTATATCAAATTTCCAAATTTAAGTAATAACAATAATAATTTAACTTTATTTCCACTATTTTTTTTTACATAATAAATATTTTAGAAATAATATTTTGTAAATATATATAAAATTTATTATGTATTTTGCAAAGAAAAACATGTAACAATTCCAGGGAGCATTACCTATAAACAATGCAAATATAGTTCAAATTATAGATTTTCTAAGAATTTTTCTGCCCATCCCATATTAGAAGTATATATTTGATAAAACTATCATCCCTTGAAAATAAAAAAAATAATTTTTTTTTCTGGTAATTTTCCTTCTTTGTCAGTGGATTTATTGCTAGTCATTCACTGCCACCCTTAAATTATGTCTGAACATTTACTTCTGAAATTCAGCTTTGAAAATAGGTCGAGCCAACAACTAGAAACAATTGGATTGAAAATATTCTACTCAGAATTTTATTCTCTGACAAGATATCAGGTAAGCTTAGGTTGAGCAAATACATTAAGAGATGGCAGAATACTGTTATGACCCAAATCCTTTTTAATAAATATTATTGTTAAGTTTACTGAACTCAAAAATTACGTACAAATAAAATAACTTTCTATTTTTGAATATGAACTACACTTATTAGCTATAAATTGATCTCAACCATGAATACTGTTAGTAACAACCATGACAACTAGCCTGACAAAAGTAATAGTGCTGCCAATTTAAAAGGTGAGGCCCGAGGTCATCAATAAATATTGGTCAGTTTTTTGATGAATAATATACAAAGAAATATCATGGTAAATGATAAATTCTTAGACAAGGAGCATTATTAATGTTTTGTAAAACAGTGTCTCAAAACAAAATAACAGAAATACTAAATTAAGTTAAATTAATTTTTCTAAGTAGAAACTACACACACACACACACACACACACACACAAAATCAAGGGTTATAAGCAACACACCTCTGGTCCAGAAAGTGTTAAAATACTTACATTCAACTTTGAGTATTTATTGAAATTTACTTATTATTGTTCAATGTCCAAAAACAATATATCCAACTCAACCCTTACAAAGAAACTATTCTAACCTAAAGTAAATAAATGTATAAATAATTTTCTTACATAATACCTATAAATATGTTATACATTTCAATATTGTAAGGAAGTTCAAACTAAGTTATTCTGTCAATTACTGAATAAAATTAACTTATATGCTAGCCCAGAAAGATATTATAACTCGCAGAACAAATGGAGGACAGAATAGGTCAAGAAATAGTTCTTTTACATCACCTCTATTTCTAATCCCAAGCCCTGAATTTAACTTTTGAAGCACTAGCAAATGGTTGCAAGTTACTTTTCTTCCCATGAAGAAGTTAAGTACTGTTACTAGCAATAACATTATTCTTCTCTAAAATTATCTGTAACTGTGTTATAATTGACGTATTTCAGATATTAAATGTTACTAAATATGTATATATTACAGTTATATGTATAAATCTTCTGTGTCATATTTTCTTACCAAATATTTTGAAAAATCAAGATACATTTTAATAATACATACAAGTGTTTTTGGTTATTTCATAAAACTTAAAGGATGCTTAATTTGAGTGAAAACTTGTGTAACTAGGCCATAAGCAGCACCTGGATCAACAAATACATAGTATCTAACATCTGTGTAAATCATGGACAAACTAAAAAAAATGTAGAAGAAAATGAAATGTCTGCTGTTTATGTAATTTCTATATTATTATTATTATTACCTCAATGAAGCAACCACTTAGGTACAGAATTTCTAACCATACTGCCAGTAAGACTGTACTTCACAAGCCTAATTGCGTGATTTTAACTAGCTGGCATACATTCTAATTGCCTTGGTAACCAATCAAACAAGTTGAAGTGACAATCTTCCTATTCCTACTTCCCAACTCTGTGGGGATTGCAAAACCAGCATGGCACCACCAGCTAAAACAATCTTGTTCATCACAATTATAGCAACCTTCTCTATTCAGAATCTTGCACTGTAAATGACTGAAATGTATGTCTCACTAGTGTACTGATACTCAACAAGGTTAATCTGGGAATGATTTGTCTGAAATGTGTACTAGCAATGTTTCCCTAGTGCCTTCCAAGTTTACTAGTAAAAACTGAAATACTAACCAGCAATATGCCAGTTTGCTAGCTCTCATTTTAAGCCAGGGATCCACACATGTAAAAAAAAGAAGTGCTCATCAGGGTAAACTGCATTTACTTCACTATAAATGTACAATTAAAAATATAGTTGTAAATATCTTAAGTTTGTTTAGGCAAACATTCAAGATTAGAATATTACACCATATTGATTATAAAGGATAAAAATGCATGGAAAGTTTTGCTTTAAGTGATTTTTACATGGCAACATCAACCTGAAAATGTTTGATACTGATTATAATTTGAACTCAAAATTGAAACTTACCAGACCAGCAAAGTTCAATGTCAAGAATTTCAGACACCTGTTTTGTACATATTATGTTTCTTGTTGCTACTGATTTAGTTATATATATATATATATATACACAAATGTGTATCCAAAGAAATTAAACAACACAGACTCACAAAAAGTCCTTATTTGCAAACAAAAATATTACACTGGACAAAATTTTGAAACACTTGTTCTTTTGACACCTAACTTTTTTCCAATAGTGAGTACAAATTT